GGAAATCAGTCAGTTAAATGAACAAGTTGCTTATAGTATTATATTATAGAGTATAGTTGAACCGGAAGAGGAGATGTAGAAATGTCCTGTAAATAATAAGCTCATTTATTAGTAACAGATTACATATTGAAAGGGGTATACGACGGATTAAAGAGCAAACGAAGGAACTGAGACGTGTGTCTACTTAGTTATTTTACCAAACCCATATATCGAGATTCCCCATGTCCAGCAACAGTTACAGGGTATTGCCAACTAACAACCACAGAACAACAATATACGTTATGATGACGTACTGAAAAACTTGTTTATGAATGTTGGTTGCTAGGGCAACGACCAGCAAAAACCGGCAACAAGAAGGGATTGGTAACTAGGCACCGTGCAACGGGCAACGGACAGTGGACAGTGGACATTGGACATTGGACAATGGGCTGAGGGGCTTTTCACTCTTTGCTTTGACGTGGCTAAAAGTTTAGCTGTAAGTGGCCAGCTAACTTGTTAGTTAATTGCTGGGCCTTTTACGATAGATACATATATACCTTTTGCAGCCTTTGGCGCCTTTTGCAGCAGACGATTTGGCTGTAAAACCGCCAAATCCCAAGCGCTCTTGATTTTCCTTGGTTCATGAGAGCAGAGAGAAGAGTTTTCTGTGGCTTTTAGGGTTTTCAAAGCGAACGTTTGGCATAACTTATTGCTATCCAACGAGAAGGGGTCTATTGCGGCGAAAGGAAAAGGCAGGATGGAGAAGAAGCAACAAAAATGGCAGATAGCAAAGGAAGCGACTGCATAGAATTCATCTTTACCACTTAACGTTTCCTGGGAAAGTACAGATTTTAGTTCTAATTAGGCTTAATGTTTGAACAGTTTAATGATCTTCTAGGCTATATAAACTTCATGTCTTTTGGATGAGCAACTTAGAAAAGGCGTTCTTTTTCGAGATATCTTTGTTAAATATCTCATTTAGTTCCTATATTGCTCAAAGTTCTCTGTGAAAACTGAGCGTCATCATTCTACAATAATTTTAGAAAAATTGAGAACTGCTCTAAGATTATATAGCTACTCAGTTATTAAAGTCAGAATATTAGCTCTATGGACTTAACATAGCTTTGTCTGTTAAACCAAAATGTTAGCCTGAAGCATGTTAAGCGCACTCGCTATCAAGCTCGCATTTATTGGCCAACTTTTTACTTTCACGCATTACAAATCGTGGGAAATCTAATATAGAAAACCGGCTAGACATTCGCCATGCATAAACCCATTTTGGGCTTGCCTAACTCAGATTTCACAGCACATTTTCCGCCATTTTGTGAGTTTACCTTCTCGCTATAACCTTTTAACCCTAAGCCCAAAGTAAGCTTAAGGGTTTGCCACGTACATATAGACCCATATAAATATATACATATATATTTACTTATGTAGATCTGTGTGGCTCTTTTCGTTTTCATTCTGATTCTCATTTCCATTGTTCATGGCGCTTATCGCGCGTAATTCACGTATTTCAATGCAATTTCTCTATTTACTTAGCACTTTCGTTGTCCCATGTCACACGCAGGACAAATCCAACCGGCTTTTTAATCCTTATCACATTTGGTTTGGGGTACGACATTTCCCTCCCTCTCCTCGTCGCTTCTCGCTCTCTCTTTTTGGGTGTGCAATATTTGTGTTTATTTTCAGGATTTATGCGTATTTATTTAGGCACACTCCGAATCTCAGATATTGCAGGAGATTTATACCGTTTCTTTGTTATTATTGCTATTTTAATAGCTGTTATATGGAGATTTATTTTGGATTAGTGCTTGGAAATAAGTTTCTGTGCATGTGTCGTCAAATAGAACTGGCGAACTTGTTCAGTGCTCAGTAAATGTTACCAGTTCAGTCAGCTATGCGATCAATTGAACTTGAATTAGAACTAGAACTTGTTAAATTGGTAACTATAGTTCATCAACTACTCTTATGGTAGAGCACTTGAACTAGAATTTCCTATTCTAATTATTTATTATAGTAGAAATCCTATATGTATTCCCAAGTACAGTCTGCACGTAAATTCAATCAGACGAAATTTTTTTGTATCAAAAAAATAAAAAAGTAATCTGCACTAAAAAACTCAATTGAGTTGGTTCTTTTGTGAGTGCTGAACTGCAAAATTCTTGACTTGCTCGGGTAAGTGTATGTGTTTGTGTGTATGTGTGTGTATTATAAATCCAATAAATGGCATGCCGGGTAGCTATAATGTGCTCTACTCGAAGAAATCACTTTTCAAAAGTCAACAACACAGAGTGAAGTGCAGATAGAGAGAGAGAGAGAGAGAGAGAGAGGGGAAGTTGTACAAGGCTTACAGGGTATAGAGAGTGTGCGTGTGAGAGAGAGAGAGAGAGACTGGGTAGGCTTGATGCGCTGTGGGGGTGGCTCAAGTCTCGCTTGCGTCCGGAGGGTGTCTCGTTTTTGTGGGCTTGCGGTTGCTGTCGCTGAGAGATTGTTGAAGGTTGATGCGTTAGCCACCAAAGTGGGTGCATTCACATGTCTCAAGAGCTTGTTATATGCTCGATATATACACATAAATATATATATATATGTATACCACCTACAACAAGAAGAAGAAGAAGATGGAAGATGACTTCTCATAATGTAGATGTGTTGATGAGTTTCGGGTGACAAAACAGGAAGAGGCAGCAAATTTGCACAGCGATGCAATTTTTAATAAGAATAACAGAGCATACACAGAGAAAGAGAGGGAGAGACAGAGTTGTGAAAGAGATGACAGATATGTTGCAATGCGTGGCACAAACAGAAGATGTTGCCGAGCTGTGACAAATGATTGAAAAGTGTCTAGAAGTTAAATTTGTAACCTCAAGTAACTCGAGTTAGGAAAAATCTTGAGAGATGAAATTTGGTATGGATATAGTAGAGGATAGGATAAAGGTATATGTTATATGCTCTCTAAGTAATCTATAGCCAAGATGTGATAAACACATCATTAAAAATGATCTAGCTCAGGTTCTAAGAGTTAATTATACTTTTATAAAGATCGTTTAATTAGAGTATATGAACAAATAGCTATGCATTTATTGTTCAACTCGGAGTCAACTCATGAAACTAGATAGTTAAAAAAGTTTTAAAGTAGACATTCGTTTCTATTCAGCCTTTTGCTTAAGTCATGGGCTCTATGATATCTTGGCTTACATGATTTTCAATTGTAAAAGAGCTCTAAAATTTTATTCTTTCATAACTCTAGACATTTCCATACAAGCATATCATAGTTAAGAGACTGTAGTGCATTTCATGCAGCCATAAGATATATGCTCTATATAGCAAGCGTTGAGCAAAAACCAAATCAACGCACGAAATCTCTCGTCTAGAAAAAAGTGAAAATTGCATTAGAAGCAAACAACGTGTGCGCACTTTTTAATTGGATTTCAGACTAGGCTAGAGCTAGAGCCAGGGAGAGAGTAAGAGAGAGAGAGAGAGAGAGAGCCGTAGAGTGACAGAAGGAGACAGGGAAGACGCGACATGACTCCAGTTGGAAATGAAACTTGGGAGAGGTTGTGCTGTGCCTGGGTTCTGCTTCGGCTCTGACACTGTGCAACGTGCTGAAATAATGTGGAGCGTCATTAAAAGCTCAGCTGGCGGCGCAGTCGACGTCGTTGTTGACGTTGCAGTTGACGCTTTGATTATGATGAGTCACATGAGATTGTTGTTGCTGTTGTTGTTGTTGTTGTCGTTGTCGTTGCTATGTTGCATTAACATTCATAATTTCCACATGGCAACGTTGCTTAGAACCAAATGGAAAGCGCACTTGGAGTTCGCTTCAATCCACCTTGATGCCGTCACTAAACCACCTGGACGTTCTCTTTAACCCAGCTTTGCTTCAACTCCATGTTGACATTTGAAGAGTCGATTGTGTTTTGTCGCTTTGCTTTCTGCTCTCTGCTTTCTGCGCTTTTCCAAAACTTCAAACCAACAACAACAACCAGGAAATTGAAAGGGAAAAGCAAATATGGCCACAGGCAGCTGTTAAAGGGGATGGGGAGGCAGGGCACCGCCCGGTAGACACCTCTACCGCCTGGCCACGTTTTCCATCAATTTGATGTTTTTTTTTTGGCTGAATTGCCCTCGCCTCATGCTACCGCTGCTTTTGATTGGTGCGAATAGATTTTTGCATGCCATTTAATTTTCATCAGACCTAAAACAGCGGTGGTTGTTACAGACCAAAATGGCGCCGTCTAAACGTAGTTTACCATAGCCAAAATCGTTATATATATGTACATATGTATATGCATGTATATACATGTGCTGCAACCCTTCGATTTCCCAACAACTTGTCACAAATTTTCCAAGTCAGCGCGCAGCGAAATGAATAAAAAAACTAAACGTTTGGCGATAAACAAAAATGTTATGCTAGGCATCGCTACGGCGGTTAGGGATAGCAGCTAGGCCCAGTGGCAGGGGTAGTTTGTGCTACCCTCAAAAATATATATAACTCAAAAACTCAACAGCTCGAAAATATATTTTGACGGAGGCTCGCTAAAAGTTGTTGATGGTCCGCCAGGTGAAAATAACTGCCTCAATAAATTGTTGGTGGTTAGCTTGATACTCTATAGTGGAGCATAATCGATGTGAGAAGAAATGTGCAACGAAACGATATGTTTTAGAATAAAGATGGGATGCCTGAATGCATGAATGAGCAATGCTTCATGCTTATAGTAAAGTAAGGGATTAAATTGTTTTGCAAAATATAAAAACTTGACTTAACTTTAGCTTTATTAAATTAGCTTATAATAAAATTAATAGAATACTATTAGACTAAAAGTTAATAATAACCTCCTCCAGTCAAATAACTATCTCTAAATCTATAAGCCTTAAGCAGTTGCAAGAGCTAGAATCATATATTAGTTTACACTAGTCGACTCCTTTAGTAAACTAGTATATGCCAGAGTTAACATCGTCGCCTTTTCGTCATGAAGAAGTTGGAGGAGAGCAGATATAAAGAAATGCAAACATATATATTTGATATAATTTGTTCATCCATTCAATTTATTATCTAGTTTCTTGGCATTGTCTTGGCTACAATGTTGCCCTATTCACATCTCACCTGTATTTTGGACTGCATTTGTTTGGTTAGGGTATTCGAACTGTTGTCTTTTCTTATCTCGTTCTTTCTTGCCTCGGTTTATAACCTTTTACCTTTGCTGCGCTCCAGCCTGAATGCATTTCCTCTGAGTCGGCATATTTCTGTTCAGTTTCTGTCGAGACCTTCCACAAAAGAGGCCTTGTTACATTTCGCATCCTTTCTCATATTATTTTGTTTCTAGGGAGCAGGTATTACCTGCTGCTGCTGCTGCTCTTACCTGTGCCACAAAAGGTTGCCTCGACTGCTGCTGCTGCAGCTCCGGCAGCTTCATCTTATTTATTTCGTCTTCTGCTCTTTTCTCACCTTGCACTTTGCACAATTTTCCTGCCTGTGCCTTTAACTGACAATTTATCTCTGGCTGTTTGCCCAAGGGACGTCGTTTGTTGTTGTTGTTGTTGCTGCTGCTGCTGCTGCTACAGACAGGTTCCTTAGCCTGGCCTAAACAAATGCTGTCGTCTGTCTGATTTTTCATTACCAACGCTCGTGAGCCGGCATATGTTTGTGTTTTCCTTTCATTAGTTAGGCTGCTTGCCTGCTTGCCTGTTGGCAACAGCAGCTAAACACATACACACACACACACACTCTTTTGGAGAGTTTTTCCCGCTTATCATTGCTGCTTCTCCTGCCCCTTGAAGCAAAGTGTTTTTAATTCTCTCATTAGTAACTGAAATTACAACGCAGCATTTAGACTCTGACTCTGACTCTGACTCCGACTGTGACTGTGTCTCTGACTTCAGTCTCAGCTCCAACTCCAACTCCAGTTCCAGTTCCGACTCTGTCTGCCCCGCCCACTTTAATTTTGCCTCTATAGAGCGAGCTGCGAGTGTATGCGTTGCATCATTTCCGGCTAGGCCCTGCATTAGCTCCATTTGTATCATTATCTCTCTCTGTTCTTCTCTGTTACTCTCTCTCTCTCTCTCTCTCTGCCTGACATCTCCCCTCTATATCATTTTCAGTTGAATGCGGGCTTTCAGCATTTGCTTGTTAATTGAGCGCGGTGTCAGGCTCCATTTCCAGTTGGCATCATTCTCAATTTGTCATATTTAAAACGTGCTCTTGCTCGCTCTTCTTCTTTCTTTTTCTATATATCAATCAGTTAAGTTTAGTCGGTTATGCAGGAAAATTAAAGGTTATCACTTGATATGAGCTTGGAGGAAATGTGAATTTAAATGTTAGGAATATGGAGTATATTATATATAGGGCACATATGCAGAACATTTATGAAAGACATAATAATAAGATATTATGATATGGTGTACTCAATCTGCCTGCGACTTGGAAAAGTTAAGGTCTCTTTGATAAAATTATTTATAAATTTTTCCTTCCTATTACTATTATTTTATATCATATCGTATAATTATATAAACCACAAGGAATAACAACAAATTGCCTAAGGTCTTCAGTCTGGCTGTCTAGTTTCATCGAATGATATATGAGCCATGTGTACAATTATAATAGTCCCTAGATTATGTGTAAGGGTAATTGGATATTTCTGACTTAAAGAGCGCCTTGTTATCAAAATGATATATGAACTGCAAATCGTAATTAGGGAACTTGCAGCAGGCCGAAGGGTACATTATTTTGACTGCATTGTTTATCCTGCACATTTGATATATGATCCGTAACTCTATGCCGTATTAAGCCCAATTAACGTCACTTCATAGCAAGCAAAGGAAAATAATGGAAAAGCAAATTCATACTCATACTCACACTCGCAGTCATGTGCGGGGATTATTCATGTGGCTATTGTGAATGGGTTTTCTTCTTCTCAGTTCTCAGTTCTTCTCGCTTCGCTTAATAAATTTAACCTAAAATGTCAACATTTGTGCATAATTCTTGACATTAATTACGAACATGAACTCAAAGACAAAGAAGTATTTTCCTCTCCTTCTCTCTCCCTCTCTTTCTACAATAGAAAGTTGAGACTCGCTTCTTGTATTGCATATTTAAAAGCTAATTAAATTTTTGTTTTGGTATTTTCCCTAGATTTTTTTTGGGGTTTTTGTTTTCAGCCACGCCCTAGTTAAATTTTGTAGCACAATTGTTTAAAGACTCTTCAGTTTAGCTTAATGACTTTGTGGAAAGATTTGCTCTTAGCAGATCGCTTAGCTTCGCGAGCAACGGTTAACATATATCGTCATGTTCGACCTGACCTGCATCTCATTTCATGCAACAGCACACATGTTCACAAATTTCACACTCAACTTGACTCGAAGCTATTTGTCAACTGGGCGGGAGGTGGGGGCCATGGGTATGCGGGTATACGGAATTGGGAATTTCGGATTGGGCACAGTTCGTTATGGCCACTGCGTTTCGCTCAACCTGTGAGTGGGACACGCTCTGTCACGCTCTTGCACTTGGTATTCTTCCAATGACACGTTCAGGCAAAACAAAGGCAACAATGAAATATGACATATACCCTGTAAATGATGATAACTGGGGAGAGTGGAAGACATGTGAGGAAGGGAATTGAAAAAGAATTTGTAAAGTTGGCGATATTTTGTGTCTACAATAATCTTTTTAATATACCCTGTAAATTTTGATAACAGATGAAACTTAAAACCTAACAATGTTTTGCAAATTTTTACTTCAAATATACCCTGTAAATGCTTTGGGTATAGACTATTATAGGACATACATTTTCAGCCTATTTCAGCATTTTCTACAGGGTATTCACCCACCTAGCAACGCCTCCTACTGTGTCACACATAGCTGGGCCAACTGTGTATACAAACCTGATTCGTTTCGGGCTAATTAAATAGAAGCCTAGTGACAGTTGATATATATTTTCTTCTTGGTTCGATATCAAAATGAATTTCTGTTGCTGCCGCTGCCCGCATCTGACGGAGCAACTGTAACTGTAATTGTAACTGTAACTGCAGCAGCATCTGCATCTAAAGTATTTCAATTGAAATTTCAGCTTAGCTATGCAATTCGATTGTCGTCAGGCATTGCCCTTTACTCCCTTTATCAGCATGTCTCTCTCTCGCTCTCCCTCTCCCTCTCCCTCTCTCTCTTCCTCTTGTTGCCTGTCAATTCAATTTTAATCAAATGCGTTACTTCGATTCCCCAGCGCAATTAATTTGAAATGTTTCAGTCGAATGAGCAGACGCCTATAAGCACATACATATATGTCTGTATGTATCATTCACATTTATAACTTACCCCCTTGACCCCTTTTCGCCCGCATATTCAGGCATTTTGCATAGGGTTGCCCATAAGGCATATTTCCGTGGCATTCCGTCCCGCTGCTCGTCGCTCGCTGTTGGCTTGTTGGCCCGGTCAACGCTCCGTGTGCTCAGCTTTTGATAGTTGTGCTAGCTGCCAATTGTTAAAGAGCCGCAAATGTTTGCAGGCTAGAGATGAGCGCGTGCATTGCATTTGATTTGGCAGCGATGCACGAATGCAGATGATGAAGTAGTGATGGCATATGCTATGTAATGATAATCATAATGATCTTATCAATTCACTATAATACCATTGGCAATTGACTATGACGCTGACAAGGATAATTATGATATGATAGATAAAGAGAATGATAGATAAAGAAAACAATGAAATGAACTTTATATAAATATAGATATCTCAAATCCCATCGTCTCTCTCTCTCCCTCTTCCAACCTCCCTTAAATCTACAAAATAATCTATTGAACAGGAAAAACAATGTTTTCATTTTGAAATACAATTTGAAATTACTTCATATGGTTAAAGTTATCTAACAACTACATTGGAACATATGCATGTTCGTGCTCATATCTCTCATTAACTTTAACCTCACTTAAGCACACGCATTCCCCCGACCTCAGGTGGGCGCTCAGGTAGCTGCACAGGTAATCGACAGAGCGCATTGCACTCGTTTTCAACTTCCGGTTATGAACTGAATGAATGCGAGCACCTTTTGCATTCGCATTCCCATTCACGTTTATGCTTCAGTTGATGCAGAAAACTCGCATTCCTCCCCCTCTCTCTCTCTAGCGCTCACCCACTCTCTCGGCCCCTTTTGTGCTCCTCCCCTTGCTGCATGCGCGCGCTTTACAAACACAAAAGTTAGTTTTGCAAAAATGTTGACTGTGTCTCTAAATGGTTTGCTGCTTGTTAGAGGTCATTAACGCGACTATTGTTGTAGATATATGTATAGCTACATAATGCACATAGGCACTCGACGTGGCATTTCCAAAAAAAGGTCACCCGCTATCTGAGAGTCAGCGGATGCGACGCGGCGCCTCATTAAAATCAGATTTGAGTGCACAAACACAAAAGCCACAGCGAGTAGCATTTAACTCCAATTTCGATAGCTCGCCACACTTGAACACCCTCTATGAACGACTCTCCCTCTCTATACCGCTAATCTCTCCCTCGGTTCTAACTACAACTTAGATCAGCTAGTGTGATTCCTCTTGTTTCTCTCTCTTTATATATCTCTTTATGCCTTTCCAACACTATCTCTTGTCCAGCTTTTATTAAATATCTCCTTTCTCGCTCTCTCATTACAGATAGTGCCACCTATGTCGGCAACATATTGCGCATCAAGTCCGTGAAGAAGGAGGATCGTGGCACCTACTACTGCGTTGCAGACAACGGCGTCAGCAAAGGTGATCGTCGCAACATCAACGTGGAGGTGGAGTTCGCACCAGTTATAACTGTGCCCCGGCCACGTCTCGGCCAGGCGCTGCAATACGACATGGATCTGGAGTGCCACATCGAGGCGTATCCCCCACCAGCCATTGTCTGGACCAAGGATGACATCCAGTTGTCCAACAATCAGCACTACACAATCTCGCACTTCGCCACCGCCGATGAGTACACCGACTCGACGCTGCGCGTCATTACGATTGAGAAGCGGCAGTACGGCGATTATGTGTGCAAGGCGACAAATCGTTTTGGCGATGCCGAGGCGCGTGTCAATCTGTTCGAGACAATCATACCCGTCTGCCCGCCAGCCTGTGGCCAGGCGTATTACGGAGGAGCAGAACATATTGCTGCATCTGCCTCCTCTTTGGCATTGCTCGGCATTGTGCTGGCCGTGCTCTACTCCAGATAAGCCAATCTAAAACCAACAACGATGCTTCACATAATCATATCTAATCCATCTCGAATATACGAATATATATATATCGAAAATATATATAGCTAAACATAGACATCAGCTGTAGAAGTTTCATTGTCGCAAAATCCTCTTTTTGAAATTCGATTTATCTATATGTTTTCTCCAGTCTATATAAAACGTCCAATCTTATCTTAAGTTAAGTTTAAGTTCTTAAAAGAGCTCACGCATTTTAAACTAATTTAGTAAAACAAAAACAAAACCCAACTCGAATCCCAAAAAGCAAAACCCGTCCGTTTTTTCTGTCTCTCTGTATATTTTTAAATAACTTTAGATTATAATAATAAGATATATATACCAGACATTCCCGTTCTATACATCACATATGACATTGTTTAATTTTCCACAATTCGTTTACAAAAAGAGAAAATATTTTATTTTTTATTAAATAAATAATAAAGTATTTTCGTGCTGCTCTTTATATATGTATGTGTGTAATTAGTTTGATATACATCTAACTGAACAATTCGAGAGGCAAAGATACAAATTGCGAATAACAAGACGAAAAAAAATTAATACTTTTCTAACCCGAATCTGGGTGTAAATAAACAATTTTTGTATTACAAACTAAGAGAAAAGAAAACATAAAATAAAGCAAAAAAATGTGTAAAATGAAAATGTGAATTTGAATTTATATTAACTTGTAAACCTAAGACAGCACACTGGGTTCATTTAAATACTATTATTATAAAAGTTTCTTAGACTTAAGACTTAATCGAACCGCCCGCTGTCGCCATGCGATAATATAGATTGAATTCCGATTCGTAGACTGAAAAGTTGGCATTCTTATAGCATCGGTTGGGCGGCACATACAGACGCATTGGATTCTCTACTATGAAACGATAGATTCGCTTGATCCTGTGCAGCTGATGCTGTGTCTTAGTGCCCAGTGATTCGATATTATCGAGCAGCTGTACGATTTCCTCGTGCTGGCGACGGGCGCTCAGCTTCAAACCGTGTGGATCGACTGCAAAGCGAGAGTGGAAATGGAAATGAAGTTGCAAAAACAAAAAACAAAGAGAAGAGAAAGGGCGCTTCGAGCATACCAATTATTGTCTCCAAATTCAATTTCAAATCGGATGTGTGCTCAGCAATTGCTGACGCCCACAAAATGCGTTTACGTACTTCCTGCAGAGCCCCAATGGGGGTTAGCAAATGACCAGGAGCCAATTGCATGGTGGAGGCCAATTCCTGTGATTCCACGATGAGCGGATTGGCCGAAAGCAAAAAAGTGCTGCGAAAAGGGAAATTCAATTATGAAAACAGACAAGCTATATATATATATAATGCTTATGTATGTATGTGTATGTGTACAGATATGAGTAAGAGATTTCACTGCCTACAGAATATATACAGATAAGCCTTACCAATTGCGAGGCACACAGCTGAGTTTCTCCAGTGGCATCTCAGCAAAGGTATTCAGCTCCAGCAGATGAGAGGGCAATGTGGCAGGCGATGATGTGCTTGGCGGCGGCAACATAGGAGTCGAGGTACAATTGGCTGCCACAATTGTGTTATCAAAGCTGCGACGCAGCGTTGTCTCCATTGGACTTGCATCGAACTCTAGTTTTGTGCTGGAGAAGACGCTGTCGTTGGCCAGACTGAAGCTCTCCATGCCCAGGTACGACATGTTGCCCACTTTTAGCTTGCTGTTGAACAGCTGAGATTTGGCATTCTGTTGGTGCGTCGTTGCCTGCATGTCATCCAGCATATTCTTCAAGATATTCTTGGAGTACAGAATTTTCTCTTTAATCTGCGATAGCTGCAACATGTCGTGCCTTATTCCATTGATGGAGGTATTGATTTCGGCGTAGATTTGCTTGATGGAGCAAAGGAGCAACTCGTGACTCTCCAATTGACGCACGCCCGCTTCCAGCTCCAGGCGAAGCTGTTCAATCTGTTCGCTGAGATATTCGTTGCGTGCATGATTGAAGTTTCGCAAATTGTATTGGAGTATAAATTCAGAGATGATCTCCTCGCTGCTTTCTTCCTCCTCCTCGGTGCTGATTGCATTGAAATTATTCACTTTCCTCTGCAGCTCGTTCAGGAATGTGCTATATGCAGCGGCGAAGCGCTCCTCCAGCTGTGCAACTTCATTTTGTGCTGACAAATGCTTGGCCACTAGGCCCAATAGCTCCGCCTTTGTCTTCAGCAACTTAATGTCAAAGCTATTTAGCATTGGCTTGGACAGAGAGCTTATGGTCTCAATGTGCTGGCTGCTCTTGTTCAGCTGCATCACTTGCTGCAGCTGCTCCTCCTTGATGCGCATGATCGCATTGAAGAGCAGAACATTTGGTATATTTGCAAAGATTTGTCGCATCTGCGACCAGAGTTGATTCTTCGCCTCTGCCAGTTGTTGGCTACTGTGGCCATCTGCATTGCAGATTTTATAGAATTGTTCCAACTCCTTGAGCGCCTGCTCCACGGCCTTTGTGGCCAACTTTTCGCTGGCGTTCTTTTGATTTAGTTTCACCGGCATTGTGGATAGGATTTGTGCCTTGTTCGAGAGCTCTTGATCGTAGGTTTTGTTAAGAGATTCCAGCTTAAGTTGGAGTAAATGATATCTGGATTGGTGCAGCTGCATTTTGTGTGTTGCGCTAATCGTTTGAATATCTAAAAGCAGCAGGAGATAGATGGAGAGTCTTATAAAACAGATTCATGTTGAGCGTCGGCTGCAGCTGCACTTACTCTTTGTTTTGATAGAGGCTGCCAAGCTATCGTACTCTTTCTTAGCCTCGGCGAGACACAGCTTCTCCTTTTCCTTCTCCTTGAGCAAGTCCTGCATTTTCAGATGAATTTGTAGCTGGCGTGGCAGAAAGCTGCGTCCACAGGCTGGCACCACTTTTCCCTTATGCTGCGCCACCTGCGCAATCAGCAAATTCTCGCGCACCTCTCGCACATTCTGGCGCGGTTGAATGCGCGACTGCATATTCACAAATAGTTGATTTTGACGCGATTTAGATATGCTACAATGAAAAAATAAAATGGCAGTTCGACTTGAATTAGAACAGCGAATTTGTTAGACTTACGATTTGAGCGCGTCCTCATTGGGCAGCGCGGCGGGCGGGCAGCCTAGGCTGGTAGCCCACTCGCGAAATCCTTTTATCTGCTCATCAAAATCCATATTTCAATCAATTTAACTAAATATGTTTTTAAACGCCGCGGCCGCGCACATACACAGCTATATACTCACACTAAGGCAATCACAAGCAGGGTTGCTAAGCGATTATATATTTGGAAAATATAAAATGCAATATGTACACACTTAAAACGGAAATGTCTATTTGAAAAAGTAACCATACACGTCTTGTTAACTTTTAAGCTTAAAATGGTGAAATTATTTTAGGAAATTAATAATTTATTTACTAAGCACACAAACACTAGGAAATTATTTAAACAAAACTTGAACTAAAAATATCAATCATTTCCGTAAAGTAAAAAATCTTTATTACTAATTGTGTTAATCATAAATATTATTAATTATTTTGAACTATGCATTGAGTGACAAATGTCTTGGCCATTACACACTGTGGGCTTTGTGTCCAGCGATGCGAGGGACAATTTTTAAAATATTCCATATAGGCGCAGCCAAGCACAATGGCTGAAAATGGACTGCATTTTGGTTGCTTTGGATTAAATTGTTGAACGGCTGCCAATCTACGCTGAGCTTCTGGCTCACATTTGGTAAACGCAGCAGTCATAGCCTCCACATAAAGCGTATCATTTGGGAATTTGGCAGTTAAATCGTTGCGTATGTGCTCCAAGTTGAGAGATTTCGGCTCTCGTTTGTATTGGGATGTTGTGAGAATGCAATCAGCCAGACACTAAGAGATAAGCGATAGTTAATTCGTTAATTATCGAAGTTGAGGAAATGGTTTTTTCAGATGGCCTTGAGCTTAAACTAATTTTGTTCATTCCCACTTACCGTTGCCGTATCCAAGGTAGGCGGTCCATTATTTTGTTGACCATTTGCTGTACCTACAACTTTCTCTGTACATTTTTCGGCAATTTGATCGCGTCCTCCATCCCGGCAGCAAAGAGCAGGATCCTTAAATTTCAATTAGGCTACCAAATTACCACAAAATTCCAGAATTCTTTAGCACATTACATACCAATAATGGCGGCGGTTTTTGACAGTCAATTGTTTGGCCATATGCAATCGATCCATATCCCAGCAAAACGAAAACCACAATATTTTTAGAACTCCACATAGCTGCAGCTATAGCTGTTTTGAATGATGCTTCAAGTCAAACTGTAAAAATAGTTTAAACAAGTGACGTTTTTATATGAATGGAGAGACTGTTTAGATGCTATTAGAACCAGCCACGCAGAACAAATAACTCTGGGCAGGGGTTCATTGTTGCAATTGTTTGCTATTTGGTGCCAATGTCAAATCTAATACCATATTTTGGAACGTTGACATCGTGGACATGAAAACTGGTTAAAGTTTCGTCAAATGAATTTTCAATATACACACATACATGTCTCGCTCGATAAATTAAAAAGTAATTTTAGAGGAAGTACAATTAGCGCATTTAGCTATTCAGATTTCAAGGTGACAACTTTAATAAAAAAAGGAAAACCACACATGTTTATGATTAGTGATAATTGTTGGTAATCCCAAAATTGAAATGCTTAACGGTCATTGGGGTCAACTTTTTAAGTCTGTAGAAGCTTTTAATAATTACCAGAAGAGTAGTTGAACTAATGATATTAATTGTAGTTTTCTAATTAATTGTAAGTTGCAAGGCACTGGTTAAAATATTAAAAAACGGTGTGCCTTCAGTTTAAAATGTATTAGTATTGGTATGACAGCTTCCTTTCGCTTGTCCACTAACATTAGTCTACACTCTGTTAACAATTAACATAGCTCTATCAGCTGTTGGTTGGTTGGCTATCGAAATATCGGATATATCGGATATATCGATAACAAACGCCACAAGTCGAAAGAAGCAGATGGATGTGAATAATAAAATGTATTTAGACAAACAAAAATAAAAACAACTAATATATGGAAAATAATTATTTAATTTAATTTATTAATTAAATAACAGATTAGTTGTGGGCGATGTGCGCGGTCGTTTCAAGCAGCTGTTCAGCCGAGTGGAGCAGGTAAACAAAAAAGCGGGACCATTTGAGATTTTGTGCTGTGTCGGTGATTTTTTTGGCGCCGAAAAACAAAACGAGGAGCTGATTGCCTACAAGAATGGCTTTAAACACAGTAAGTGGAGTGGATTAAAAATTATGAATATAATTTGTAATTGCTATAACTTTATGTATATTTCAGTTACCGTGCCCACCTATATACTGGGACCCAATAAGGAGGAGGATAAAAAATACTACGAAGATTTGTCGGATGGTGAAATCTGCACGAATCTAACATACTTAGGCAAACGAGGAGTTTATACGCTGAGTAGCGGCGTTAAAATTGCCTATTTAAGTGGCGTTGAAGCAGCAGCGAGCAGTGGAACGAAATGCAGCGAGCATGAATTTACCAAAGCTGATGTACAAGCTGTGCGCAATTCCTGTTTGGTTGCAAAGAACTGTGGCACGGATTACAGGGGCGTCGATGTACTCTTAACTTCCCAATGGCCCTACGGCATGCAGGAGGAACAGAATGTAACTAATTGCATATATGATACATTCTAGTTCATAAACAAATTATTACTTATTTATACACCCCACAGTCAAAGGCGTCCAAGCTGATATCGTTTCTGTGCCGTGAAATTAAACCTCGCTATCATTTCTGTGCCATCAGTGGTGTCTACTACGAGTGCCCGCCTTTCCGAATGCCCAAGGATGAGACCACGCAATTTGAGCTGTGTACGAGATTTATATCCCTCGCCGATGTGGGCAATGCAAATAAGGCTAAATATATTTATGCTTTAAGCCTAAAGCCTGTGGACAAAGCACGTTTGCTTGATCTTGTGCAGAAGACAACAAATGAAATCGAATGCCCGTTTATTGGCTTGAAGATGGATGGCGTTATTAACCAGAATGAAACGGTGAGAGTTTAGCAATATATATGTACATATATACATAATATTATCTTTCTGTTATAGTCGGAGAGTCGACAATATTTCTATGATATGGACTCGAGTGGCAATCGGAAGCGACGCAGCGAAACGGACAAGCGTGATAAGCGACCAAGGATAATGCATATCGACCAAGGTCTGAAATATTATCAGAAATCATTATGCATGCATGCATATTCAGTTTACTGATATATCTTCACAGATAACTGCTGGTTCTGTTTGTCTTCGGAGAAAGTGGAAAAGCACTTGATTATCGCTGTGGGTGAACGTTTCTATTTGGCTTTGGCCAAGGGACCTATAAATAGTCAACATGTTTTGATCTTGTCAACCCAACATATACCCTGTGCTGCTCAGCTCAGCTCGGAGGATTGGGAAGAGCTGCTTAAATTTAAGAACGCTTTGCGTAAACTCTTCAAAAGCCTGGGACAAGTTGCTTGCTTTACGGAGCGACATTATAAGACTTCACATTTGATTATAGACGTTATAGGCTTCGAGGAGGGCTATGCGTGGAAGATAAAACATAGCTTTGAGGTGATATTCAGACTACATTTATATTTCGTTACAAGTTTTTTGTATAGTTGTAAACTAACAGTTCATTTATTGAGTCATAAATATCCGATTTATAATATCTCCCCGCTTACAGGATAAAGCTGAGGAATTTAATCTAGAATTTGAAACATTGCCCGCCTTGACTTCACCTAAAATGCTACCTGAAGTGGGTCCCTATTTCCTGGCAGAGCTGCCCGATGATACCGCCCTAATTACACGACAAATGAAACATTTTCCGCTGCATTTTGCCAGGTGTGTTGCCTGGACTTGAAATGGTTTGCTTATTTATAGATATTTATATACTATTATAATTATATTTATAGAGATGTTTTCTGTTCGGAGAACTTGTTAAATTGTGATGAGAAAGTGAATTGGAAGGATTGTCTGCTTGACAATGAGGAGGAAAAAGCAAATGTTGTTGAATTTCGTAAACGTTTTGCGCCCTTCGATTTTACAGATGATTGATTGATTTTTTGATGATTGATGATTAAAAGCAGAACATATTTCGTGAGTTCAAAAAATTCTATGTTTTACTTATTGCATATACCATTGCCAATGCAATTTAGACTAAAATTCTATATTGTTTATTATATATACTATTTGCATATAGTATAATGCTTAAGAGTCTCTTTGATAGATTTTGTTGAGTATTTGCAAGAATGTTTGATGCGGCACTCCCCGAGATGTTTGCTGTATGTGAGTCTTTATCATATTGTAAGATTCCTCCTCGAATATGGCATATGTAGAGGGCAAGCTAAGCTCTTTATATAGAGCCTTAACACGCTCGACTTTGAGGGGGTCTGCAAGTATATAAAAAAAACATATAGTTGTATCTGGGTATAAATAGCTTTTATATTTCTACCATTTTGTCCGTAGCAGTCTATCATGATTTGCTTCTGCTCCGCATTGGCGCGCTGCATAGCCACCACAGCGAGCCAGGAGCATTTGTTGTCCTGTATGTCGGTGCCCACTTTGCCGGTGACTTCTGGATTGCCAAAGCAGTCAAGAAAATCATCTTGCACCTGGAAAAAGTGGCCCATTTCTAGTAGAATCGTCTTTGATTGTCTAAATGCTTCGGCGTCTTTGTAGCTGCAAAGATAATTAGGTTCTTATGTAAGTCAATAATTAAAGTTGTCAATACATACCCAGCTAAATGCATGGCTAGAGCAAAGGGTAGATAGAAGGAATAATGTGCCGTCTTATTGTCCACAATTGCCTTGTACGTCTCCATAGTAAACTCTGAGACACTTTTATTCGAATTGAGCAAATCGAGAGATTGTCCACAAGTTGTGATGTAGGTGACCTCGTGAAACAGCTCCATTAAAGCCACATAGCAATCCAAATGGCTGAAATGTTGCTTGAGTATCGCATACAAGGCATTCTCTATCATAAGGGCATCGTTAATGGCTATAAGGCCAACTGATTCCACCCGATGCCAGCACTTTTGGCCTCTGCGCGTTGTACTGTTATCCATCACATCATCCGATATAATGAAGAAACTTTGCAGCTGCAAATTATGGACAATTTTCAAATATTCAAATTTAGTATTTTTTAGTATGACTCCACAAAATAATAGTCCTCACCATTTCGACACACCAGCCCAAATATTGAGCTAGTTTTATATTCTCGGGGGTTAGGTCTTCGGCAGGTACTAGATTTTTGTATGTGAGCACCGTTAAGATGCCACGATTCTTTTTGCCACGGGGCACATTATATTGCATGACCTGGGCGAACCATTTGACAGCATCATTGCAATTGAATCCCTTTGTATAGGTGGTTAGGTCACGGACAACATCTGAAACGGTATAAATAAAATATCATTCATATACAAATATATAAATGCAAATTTTTAGCATTCTCATGCTAATTGATGTTCACCTGGAAATACGGCCATAAAGTCACGACTTTCATCTTTTGAAACTGTGACGCGCGCTGCAATTGGCACTGAATGATTTTGAAGCGTTGATAACGTTCTGTAGAAGAAACGAAATCAAAACCGAAATATGAATAACGTAAATATAATAATAACAGAAAAATACTGTTACAAATGAGGGATGTTGACGGAAAATACTGCTGCAACAGCTGTCTGCGGCCTACGTGACCGGCCACTTTCACTCCAACTATACCACGCCCCTAGCGGCCGGAGCAGCATCACAATGTAAACAATTTCGGTTTCATCTTCCATTTTCTCTTACCTCGTTGTCTTCTTCAGCTTCTGCTCGATGACCAATTCAGAGGGCAGGCCGCCTATTGTATCCACAGATTTAACTTCGTCGCTGGTTGATATAAATCTACGCATTAATGCAGGGCGCTGCAGTAAACGCTGCTGCGGCAATAGCCTTTGTGCTAACTTAAACATGTTTGGAGCTATTTTCTAGAAGTTTAGTTATGCGTTTTTCAACGCAATACAAGATCAATTTAGTCTATAGTCGATAATACTATTCTTGATACACAGAGCTTCTTCAGTCTATTGATAATTTCGGCAGCACTACAGTTAAAAAATTTTGCTTAAAATTGATTTCGTCGTAAAAAGAAAACAGTAAGTTGTTGCGCACTTGACATAAATGTTTGCTAGTTGAAAGTCGAGAGAATTTTGACCCACCAACTAGTGTGGTCGCCACCCGCGAGTCTAAATATTCATATGGCCAGCAGAAATACTAAAACTATCGTTAAAAAGTCCACATATATCGATTGTTTGACGCTTCGATAGATGAGTTGTCTCAACGTTGTTGCACATCGCTAATCGCCGAAAAGACTGGAGCGCAGGCAAATAACAAGAAAATAAAAATCATAATTTGATTTATGACTACATCATGATGGATGAGCAACTTATTGATGAAGTAGCTCAACACGGCGTCATCTATAATCGGCAAAAGTATTATTTAAATGGTAGCGCCAGCGGCGGCAAATACGAGACCAAGGACGAGGCTTGGCAGCTCATTGCGTTGAAGCTGCGGACGGACGGTAAGCCTAATAAAAAGTTTCAACTTTGCGCTAATTAGCTGAGTAAACTTAATAAACACATACACTTTGATTGGCAGTGGAAACGTGTAAGAAGCGATGGAAATATCTGCGTGAACGCTATGTATCACAACGCAAACAAGGCGATCCACCTGTTTATGAGCATTTATCCCGTCCATACTTGGAAAAAATGAAATTCCTGGATCAGCACATACAGCCGCGTAAATCCTACCGAAACGTACCCAACTTTTTGACCTCACCACAATCGGCGAATAGCTCCAATTATAGTGAATATAATGTGGATTCCAAGTCGAATAGCTCACACAAGAATATGTCGCATTTCGGTGGTCAGAACCATCATTATCATCATCAGCAACAACAGCAGTCGGGAACAGTAGATCAGCAGCATCCAATGAATGCACTCAGCACAGCTGCCGCCTCAGCTCTAGAGAATGTCAATGGACAAGTAAAAATAGAGGCGGAAATATTTAGAGATTTTGCGGCTGCCGTAGCCTCGCAGCAACTGCAGCATATATCACAATCACAAATGCAACAGCAACAGGCGGCAGCTGTGGCCGCAGTTATGGCTGACTCGTCGCAGGGCTATCAGGAGCCGATAATGAATGGCACTGGCAGCACAGGTGGCCTTACCTCAACGTCTTCCTCAATGAAATCACCGCTGTCGTCCCCTCTGCCTGGTATGGGTGTAACTCCGACCACACAGCAAGAGGAGCAATCGACTGCAATAGCGTCTCAACAGTCAGCTGTACATTCCTCATCCAATGTTCAGGCTAACTACAGTCATAAGAGCAGCGATGAAATGCATTCCTCGTCCAATTATCACAATAAGAAGCCCCGCGTGCAACTGAACTCCAATGGTGTCAGCAATCATGCACAGCATGCCAGCAATGGTATGTCTAATCCAAATGGACATTTTGGCCAAGACACCGATGATGACTCGGATGACAATAGCACTGATCTAATGGAACCACAGACAATGTTGCACCATGAAAATCACTACAACAATTCAATCAATATGCAACGCAACAGCTCAAATGGCAATGTCAATGGTAATAATAATAATCAACAGCAGCAGCAACAGCAGCAACAACAACATCAGCAACAGCAGCAGCAACAACAACAACAACAGCAACATCCGAATATGTTTCCATCGAATACGGATTTCCTTTTCCAGCTTTATCAGCAACTACCACAGCAACAGGCTGCAGGTAGCTCACATGCTTCCAACTTTGGCAAGTTCCAAACGCCATCAAATCCACATGGCATGCAACGTTCCTCGGAACATTTACTAGGCGAACTGGTCACCACGGAGCTGTTGAAAATGAATAAGGATCGTCGGAAAAATGTACAAAAAAGAATATTGGAAATACTCTTCTTTGATGATTAGGCAGCAGGGCAGCAAAGTCCTACAGTATTAAGAGTTTCTGTTGTACATAGTGTATATATAGGGTATATGCGACTACTCTTATTGTTTAATGTATGATTTAAGTTTTAAGCTTGAAGGTTGCACTTTTTGCATCTTTTATGATTCAGAAGTAAAATTCAACATAATAAGTTTGAAATTTAGTAAAGCGGGTAAAGCAGTTGGAAAAGTATAGTCCAACACTTATTTAGTATGTTCTGTCGACCTGTTGAATTTTAAATCTAGATATATTTATATCTACATATTATAAACATATTCTTTATTATTTAAGATTAAAGTTTTTCCTAAGTTGTCCGGTTTTCCATAACTTTGTTCGTTAACCCACCAAGGCATTTGAAAAGATGTTTCATTTGCGCTAGTCATGAACTAAGTATATTGAACAATTTTCCAGTTAGAGCTTAAGTTATTATTAAGCGGGTTTAATGTATATGTATACCTAGTATACTTAATTAAGCTAAGAAAAACTCATTTGTAATTTATTCAATTTATGTTTAATAAAATGTATATGTAACTATATATATATCTAAATATATATATGAGTGTATGAACGTAGTTTTAGTTTAATATAGTTAATGTTGTTTAGCCATATTAAGAGCGGTTAGATGTAGTCTATATATATATGGGTATCTATGTTATTGTCTGGAAACCCGCCGTATCCTTCAGTTCGAGTGGCTTCCACCATAAATCTACGCTGTGATGAGTTTTCGGATTGGGCGTATCACAACCCGTCGTACAATTCGACTTATAATTATCAGCTGGGTCTGGCGATTGGACAAAGATATTATATATTACATATATTTGATGAAGGATATATCATATCAGATGCTTACCATATTTATGATCGTGGTCCTCGTCACAGTTTCTGGGACAGAAAACGACCTTCACATCGATGGGCTCGTATACCTTCAATATTAGCTCGGGCACCTTTTCCGTCGTATAGTAGCCGGCCGTTGTATACTCTAATAATGATGAACGATTCGAGTGAGTCACTGGGTTGCTATTGCTAGCGCTGGCCGCTTGTAGCGGCATTAGGTGTATGCTTTGATTCTTTGATTGCAGCAGCCACGGCTTTTGATTAACCGTTAGAATCTCTTGGTGTGTGGTTGGTGCTGGCACTTTTGTCTGTTGAGTGGTGCGAGTGGTTGGTCTGGTGGTTGCTGTTTTTAAATCTCTTACTTGATTTAGACTTTGCAGTGTCTGTAGTTTTTCTTGACGTGTATTTCTGAACTTCTCTGTCGGTGTCGCTTGTGTGGTGCTCGTGGTTGTGGTGGGGATTGTAGTTGCTGTTGTTTTAGGGTTTACTGTGTTTTTGTTTAGTTGCAATTGCTGTATTGAATTTTTCATAAAAGTGAACATCTCTTGCCGTGTGGGTCCTGATGTTGGCTGTGTATTGCGAGTGGTGCTGCTGGATGTTGTTGTGGTTGTCGTTTTAGGCTTTACTGTGGTGCTGTTCGATTTCGATTGCTGTGTAGGATTTTCTTTCAGTGTGGGCATCTCTTGGCGCGTGGCTACCGCAGCTCGTGGAAGGGTGTCGCGAGTGGTGCTGGTGGTTGTAGTTGTAGGACTTACGCTTTGGTTTGATAGGAATTGTGTAGGATTTTCATTAGGTGTGAGCGTCTGTTGGTGTGTGATTGCTGCTGCTGCTGCTGCTGCTTCTGTCTGTGTGTTGCTAGTGGCGCTGGCGGTTGTTGTGTTGGGTTTTACTGTGGTGCTGTTTGATTTCAAAAATTGTGTACGACTCGATTTTATCTCCTGGCCCCTATTTGATAGTGTGGTGCGAGCATTGCTTGCAGCTATTGTTGTTGTTGCTGTTGTTTTGGCTTTTACTATGCTGTTGCTATCTAGAAAATGGTCATTCTTTGATTTATGCTTTGATATTTCATTAAATTGCTTCGCTGATTGCTTGAGAAATGCGGGTACAGGCAGCGGCACACTTTGTGGCTTAAGTGCAGAAGTCTCGGACATTTGTTGCTGGTTGGCCTCGCTCGTTAACCCATTCACCTGGTCGAGAGACGGGAGTAGGGAGTGTCGCTTGGCCGTGGCGGCTCTAAGCGCTGTCTGCTTAATGGTGGCTTCTGTAGCTGCGCTCGTGGCTCTGTCTGCTTCCTCTGCATCGTTTACATACTCATAATCCTCATCGTCGTAGTATTCTGAGCTGCTACCGATTGCGTTTAGGCTCTTGGTTGTTGTGGTACGCGCTGTGGTGCCAGCAGTTGTGCTACTGCTGCTGCTGCTGCTGCTACTGCTGCTGCTACTGCTGAGTGGTGTTAAAGTGGTGCTCGTTCTACTCAGCTTCTGTCTTAGCAGATTCATCAATAGGCTTTTTGGCACGCTCAAGTCATTTCGACTGCTTGCAATTTCATTTGCAAACAAGTTTGAAGCCTTGGTGGTGGTGGAGCTTTGTGGTGCAGGCGCTACGGTGTTGGCTGCTTGGATTATTTTCTGCTTTAGCAGTTGGATCAGCGTCTGCTTTTGAGCATTCAAGTCGGGTTTTGCAGTGGTCTGTTGAGCCTCTTCCATGGGCTCATCATTGGCATAGTCCGAGTCCACATAGTTTTCGGAGTAATCTTTATCATCGGACTTGGGTACAGTTGCATTAGCTACAGCTGGCACGGGCACACTGGAGCTAGTTTCTAGCGGATCAATAGCAGCAACAGCTGGTATGGCCATTGGCTTTGTGGTGCTTTCAACTGAACTTATAGCCGCAGTGGTGCTCTTGGTGGTGCCAGTTGTACTGTTCATTGATAACTTTATATCTGCCAGATCATGCTTATCAACCACATTCTCCAGCTCATTCGTATCGTATTCGCTATCATAGTACTCCGAATCGTCAGCTTCAGCTTCTTTGGTGGCATTTTGTGGTATTGGTAATTCGCGCGTCAGCTGCTTGATCGACTGTCTCAACGACACGGCTATAAAGGGCTTTGATGTGGCCAAATTGTGCCTCGCCATTTGGGCAAAGGTTACCTTCGATACGGGTGCAGCTGTTGTCGATATTACTTGGAAGAGCTTTTTGAGTATATGTGCTGCAGCAATGCTGGACATGGTCGAGGGCTTCGCTAGTGGCTTTTCCGTTGTCCACTTCGCTGTGGTGCTCTCCACTTCCGGTTCGGGCTCATCGTTCATATAATCTAAGCTACCCTCGCTGGAAACTAAGCTCTTGGATAACAGCGAGGATGGCGAATCTCTTTCCCCAAATAGATTTTTGCTCGATTTGTTTATAACAAATTGGGTTTCGGTTTCTGTGTGTTTGATGTTGTTGAGGTGTTGTTGTTGCTGTTGTTGTTGTTGTATGCATTGTGTGTCTGTAAAGTAGTTGATTGAGTGTGGTTGACTGTGTACATTTGGTAAAAGCTGCCCACTTGGAGTGGCGTGTATAATGAGGCATTGGGATAATATACTTTCGTTTAGGACTTACCTTCAGGTTGACATGGGGGCAGTTTGGTGGCTGTGGTTAGTTCAGATGTTGCAGTGGTGTTTGTTGTTGTTGGCGGCAGAGTCGTTGGCTGTTTGGTTGTTGTCGCTATCGAGGTTGTTGGTTGCGGTGTCGTTGGTGTTTTGGTTGTTGTTGGTTGAGGCGTTGTGGTTGGCTTGAGGGTTGTCGATGACTTCGATGTTGTCGTTGGCTTAGGAGTTGTCGTTGCCTGAGAACTTGTCGTTGGCTTAGGACTTGTTGTTGGCTGAGCAGCTGTTGTAGGCCTAGGAGTTGTCGTTGGATCGGCAGTTGGGGATGGTTTAGGAGAGGTTGTGGGAGTTGTTGGCTGAGGAGTTGTTGTGGACTTAGGAGTTGTCGTTGGCTTAGGTGTTGTTGTGGATTGAGGAGTGGTTGCGGGCTTGGAAGTTGTTGTAAGCTGAGGGGTGGTTGTCGGCTGAGGAGTTGTTGTTGGTTGGGGAGTTGTTGGCTGAGGAGTTGTTGTTGGTTGGGGAGTTGTTGGCTGAGGAGTTGTTGTTGGTTGGGGAGTTGTTGTTGGTTGAGGAGTTGTTGTTGGTTGGGGAGTTGTTGTTGGTTGAGGAGTTGTTGTTGGTTGAGTTGTTGTTGTTGGTTGTGTTGTTGGTTGTGTTGTTGTTGTTGGTGGAGTAGTTGTTGTGGCCTCGGGTGTTGTAGTTGGATTTGACGTAGTTTTTGGATTCGAACTTGTCGTTAGAATGCTAGTTGTTATTGGTTTACCAGTTGTTACCTCCGATGTTGTAGTTGTTGTTGGTATAGTAGTAGTAGTTGATGGTCTGGGAGTTGTTGTTGCCTCAGTAGTTGTTGTTGGCTTAGGAGTTGTGGTTGTAGGTTTGTTAGTTGTTGGCTTGGGGGTTGTTGGTGTAGTTTGGGCCTGACTAGTTGTGGTTGGCTTAGGACTTGTCGTTAATTTGGAAGTCGTAACCTCATTGGTGGTTTCTCGCTTGAAAGTGGTTGATTTTACAGTTGTTGTTGGCTCAGGACTATTTGTTGTTATCTCAGGAGTTGTTGTGGGCCTAGGCGTTGTTGTTGTAGGCGTCGTTGGTTGAGTTGTTGTTGGTTGAGGAGTTGTTGTTGTTGGAGCCGTTGATTGAGTTGTTGTGGTTGGCTGCGTGGTTGTTGTCGGCTGGGGAGTTGTTGTTGGCTGAGGAGTTGTTGTTTGTTGAGTTGTTGTTGTTGGTTGAGGAGTTGTTGTTGGCTGAGGCGTTGTTGTTGGCTGAGGCGTTGTTGTTGTTGGTTGAGGAGTTGTTGTTGGTTGGGTTGTTGTTGTTGGTTGGGTTGTTGTTGTTGGTTGAGGAGTTGTTGTGGGCTGAGACGTTGTTGTTGTTGGTTGGGTTGTTGTTGTTGGTTGAGAAGTTGTTGTTGGCTGAGGAGTTGTTGGTTGTGTAGGAGCTGTTGTTGGTTTCGCTGTTGTTTGCTTTACAGTTGTTGTTGGTTTAGGAGTGGTTATTGTGGTCGTTGTCGGCCTTGTTGTTGTCGTTGGCTGTGGAGTTGTTGTGCTTGGTTTTGTAGTTGTTGTAGAGGTCTTTGTTGTCGTTGAAGGTGTGGTAGCTGGTGGTGGCCTGACAGTTGGCCTCGTTGGTTTTGGCCTAGTAGGTGTTGGCTTGGTAGTTGTAGATGGTGCATCGGATGTACTGAGCACCACTGTGGTAATGATTGGCTCTTCAGTTGTTGTTTGGATTGTGCTTTTGGGTGCCGGGGGCAAAATAACAATTTTTTGCTGGCTTAAACTTTTTAAGGCAACACCTGACGGTTGAATCTGAAAAGTATTCAACTCTAAGATACTAGTCGGAGCGTCCGTGCTTTTGACAGTTGTAGTTGAAGTTGTGGTTGGTGCTGTGGTGGAGTCGGTCTTTTGGTAGGAAGGATATGTAGGGTAGGGGTATTTCGGAGGGTATTTATCACAATCTGGTGCTGGCTTGTCCGTTGTTGGGATGATAACAATTTTTACTGAAGATTCTGGGTCTGGATTCTCTTCAAGCAGCGCTGCTGGCTCTATTAGCGGACTTCCGTAGTTGTAGTTAGGATATGTGGGATTCGAGGGATAGTAAGGGTATGCAGGATACGACGGATACGACGGATATGACGGATACGAAGGATACGACGGATATGATGGATAGTCTGGATATTTGTTTGTGGGCGCTGTAGGCGTGGCAACCGTTGTTGTTGTCGTTGTTGGTTTGGGTGTAGGCTTCGTAGGCAATATAACTAGTTGAACACTTGGCTTAGGATTGTCAATGCTTGCTGCTTTAGAGTCCTTGGATATCGAGCTCGTCTCTGGCTGCTCTGGTTGTTTCTCTTGTGCCTCTGCGTCAAAGTCTGCTTCGGAGATATATGGCTGATAAGGCGAAATGGGCGCATAGGATAGATAGCCTTGACAATCGACTTCATGATGGGGTCGGCAAAGTTTTCGCTTCGGGTCGTAGCTGTTGTTGCCAGGACATCTATGAAAGATACGGTGTTCCATAAAATTGCATATGCATTGGGATTAGAACTGCGTAGGAAACTCACTTGAAACGCGTTTGCAAATAGTTTCCACTGGGCTGCAATTTGCAGGTGTAGTACAAGGCGCAGTCCTTCGGTGATCTAAACGTGCCCTCTGTCGTGCATTCGGGAAACTTGAGCTCGCAGTTTTCCGGTATATAGCTGCCGCTGTTCGATATCTCTGTCGAAGGACACTCATCGCCGGGTATGCACTTGCCTTCCAGTTGCGAGAATATGGTGCCTGTGGGACAGCCGTAGAGCTGTGGCGTCAAATTCCTATCGCATTTGTAATAGATTCTGCAATCGTATTGATAGGCGAATCGACCCTCCTTTTTGCAAATCGGTGGATAATCGGGATTCACGCGTTCCACGCAGCGGCCAGTGCTCGAACTGAATTTCTGAATGGGTCAAGATGATTGGGAAGTTGTATCATAGCCTAAGCCAAATAGAATCAGAGGGAGATTAGCCTACCTTCAGCTCGGGGCACTTGCTGAAGATGACACAGTTGGGTTGGCACACATAGTAGTATTGCTGCTGATCGGGATGGGGCTTAATGCCCACGTAATTCCTTGAGCAACGATTGTTCTTTCGAAAAGAAAGGAAACACAAATGTAACTTGTCGTACATGGATATTCACAGATCAACTAAACCTACATAGTCCACAGCTATAGGATTTCCGCCACCCGGCAGGAATCTGTGCACGCCGTAAATGCTGTCGTAGTAACTGCCCGGCGGGTTGTAGAGCATCGGACTGGGCCGAACTCCAGCATAGGCTCTAGCAGCCGCATAGGTATAGGGCGAGTAATAGTACGGATTATGTGGAGGAGGATGGGGAATGCCATATCCACGCGGCACTTGCAGCGAGCGGGCATTGATGGCCGCCACAAGGGCCAGCAGCCAGATGCAGGTCGTCATTGTATTAGCCACTCGATAACTCAGTTTACAGATATCGTTCATATATAATATTTGTTTCAGTTTTTGGGTTTCGTCTTCACTTTGTTTGTTTTTTGATTGCACATTAGTTGAAACCGAATTTGGCGCTTTGATTATCCTTTGCTGCGGGCGCGCTCGCGCTTCGTTTGTTACTTGTGGCTTAGAGTCGTGGTGCACGGCTTTTAAATGCACTTTGTTCGCTTTAAGAATGTTGCATAATTGAAATGCCAAATGTGCTGATGCGTGATTTATGCTGAAGAAACTAAACGCAGTCGCTGCTCGCTTCTTGCTGCTCGCTGCTGCAAGAAAATAAGCCAACAACATTTTCTCACTTCGTCTAAGCGCGCTGCATCGATTCATGAGTGCACGCCACGTGCGCCGAGAACCGGAAGAGAAGCTGCAAAAGCATCACAGCATTGCTGCGGACCCAAAGAATACCTGACTCAAGCTCATCTTGATGCTTGGCTCTGGAGCGAGATGGCGAGCATTTGGCTTCCGTTGCGACTACAATTTTTGTTGTTGTTCTTCTTGCTTTCTTGATTTTTATTTACCACAGCTTGCATATGGTGTGAGTAATTGTACCCTATAATAGTGGTGATAATGAGTATATTAGTTTTGTTGAGGGACTCGTCCATCTCTTCGGCAGTTCTTCCTTGTATCTATACATCCATTTGACTTTGGCTTCCTGTGACATCTCATCGATGGATTTCCTTTTATTCATTTATTCATAAATCTGTTGTTTATTCAGCTACCGATAGACGGTCTATTTATAGCTCTCTCTTACTCATCTCTTTATCTAAGAAGTAGTCAGATATGGATATGGCTATACACATCCTTGACGGTTTCTCTTGCTACCTATTTCTCGGTTCCTCATCGATATGAACTCTTGACATCTTCAGCATCATAATCCAGGGTATTGCATAGTCTGCCATCGCCACTCTGTCCCATTTAGCTTAGCTCGTGGACGTGATCGATGCTGTTGCAGTTGTTGATGCCGGAACAACAATCGCACAATGATTAAGCGAAATGCTTCCATGCGGTATGATAAAAAAACCAACTGGGCCTGATATAGTTTGCATGCTTTGGCATAGCAACAAGCGTCTATCAATCCATAGCTGCTCGTATTATTGAATATTTTAAATAGTTATAAGTTAGTATAGATCAAAGATATTGTTCAGTGTGGAAGCTGAGAACCATTCATGTAACCCGCTCGTAATTGTCATTGACAATCGTGAAGCGTTTCTTCTGTAATTGTTTATTTTAGTTTTTAATATTTACACGTAGGCGAGAATTACGCATAGAAATAGTTTCGTGCTGGTGCGTCTTTTAACACGTTCACAGTTCTTAGCCAAAGCGGCACGAATTTTTGGCTAGACGCAGAAAAACCCCGTACCGATAAAGCCCGGTATTCACATGTATAAACAATTATATATTTTGATGTATGTATTTTTGAGTAGTTATGCTATAATATAAATGTGCACTTACACAAAAAAAGGGCTCTTACATAAGCCTTTAGTTAAAAATAACTGTAAACGGTCACGTTTTGTATGAAAAAAACTCATCATTGCTCGAGAATTAAAATTTTTTTAATAGTTATTCTAAACAAATATAATTTTTTGAATGGGTTCTTTGAGCTTCTGCTAAAAAATATAAATTGAAAATTGAGTTTAGAGAAAATAGGGTAATATTTTTGAATGGTCGTAAGCCCCTCACTTACCTAATATTCCATTTCTTTAATGAATATTTCAAATACGCTCAGATTACTATAAGTTTACCATATTCATATAAACCAGTCATCTAATTGGCTTTGAAGTAAGACTGCTAACGACTGCGACGAATCTCTAAGATATCTGAAAAATAAACAGATTAGAAAACCATCGTGCTGATTTTTATAAATCATTATCGCATAATAAATAATATGATTCATGTTTATGCTCTATGAGATATCATAGTAAAGAAAAATCTAATAAACTCAAAGTTAATTTTTTTGGTATGGATAAGTTTTTGAGTTTTATTGCATTTAATATAGTATATAATTTAAATATCTTAGTTATGTAGAAATAATTGTGTGTTTGAGATTTTGGTATTTGCTGTTGTTATTAAGATTAATATAGATCGATATTCGATTTGAATTGCCTTAGATCTACTTGGATTATCAATATATTTGATATTGAGCCTCGAAACGCAAGTCGAGGTAACCGAATGCACGTGCAGTAGCCTAATGCAGTGGGCTGTAGATGTGTATTGGATATATCCGTAATAAAAAACTGAATTGTTCAGTTCAATATGTATATATATTATTAGGCAGATGGTTTCGCTTGGTATTTACAGCTAATCACAAGAAGACGAGCAAAATTTCCTTGTGCATTACATTTTAGACCTCTTGATTATCTTCCGACTCGGCGACCATGGTCAGACTTCGCAGCGATCTGTATTGAAACGAAAACAACAAATATATTAAACAGAAATCAGAAATATATAGATGCATGTATATTGTGACTAATCTAATTATATGTAAGAGACACTAGCTTTTCGTGTTAGATTGAGCGTCTTGTACGAAATGTTGACTGATAAGCCTTATCATTATCGGAGAGCACATGCCCAGAGCTACAACAGATGCGAAAGCTTCACTTTAGTCTTTGGCTGTCTCTCGAGATTTGTGCATTTAAAGATTGAAAAAAAAATATGAAGTACTTGTGTCTATTTATATGGTTAATCTGGTTAGTTCAGGCGAATGCATGTAAGTTGGCAGATAGCAAAAAAATATAGAAAAGAAATACGTAAAACGGTTTAGCTGATTAATTGTTGTTAACGTTTTCTTCAGCTGTGGGCGATTTGCCCACATTTACGGACGTCTGTGCCCTGCAGGGCGATTGGTGCACTACCAGATGCCAAATAGCTGGCGGACGTGATGGCATTTGCAACAAGATGCAGCTATGCATCTGTAGGCCGCTCTAGTGCGCATTTGATTAGACACAAATATCACACAAAAACAGAAAATTCCAAATAGTTTTTATATATTTACAATTGCGTACGGTTCTAATGGCAAGCGGCTTGCTAGAGCTGAGACGAAATAAAATTCACACAATCAGATCGAAAGTGAGCGAGCATTCAAATTGAGTTTACCTGGAGCGCTCGAAGAGCGAGGGATCGGTGTAGATGGGCTCACTGGGATCCTCGAACTGATGGTTGGAGTTGCCGGCAGTGCGTATGGGATTTATCACTGGCAGCTGGCACATGCGCGCCAAATTGCTGTAAGCAGAAAGCAGAGATTTCGTCAGCTTAAGCGATAAGTGGACTAGTCTAGACTGGATGTGCTCACCCCGTGGCAAAAGTCTTATGTAATGAGCCGCCAAACATGGACATGTTGGTGCGAAAAGCGTTTGAGGCGCGATTCGATGTGCTGCGATTGCTGCCAGCTCCAGTTACAGATCCAGTTCCAGTTGCTCCACTTCCATTTGGCATGTGGCCAATTTCGGTGAAGCGCTCGTGGGTGCGTATCGAGGAGTGGGAATGACCCAGCGAGTGTATGGGTGAGTGGCGATCCACCAGACGATTCTTTGATATAGATTTCCAATAGCGTCTGCAACGAAAGATGTAGATAGCGAACGGACAGCAAATTGGGTTACCAATGAGCTCCCTCACCTGTAGCCCAATCCTGCAACTAGCGTAATGCTAAACAGCAGAATCATTAGCAATATTATGGCTGTGATCAGGCCATGATACTCCGCGGGCGTCATGCAAACAGTTTCCACGGGGGCCACGAGTTTGCGTGGATAGGATTCCTTCTCAATTTCCTCGCGAGTCTCAAAAACCTGAACAAAAAATAATTCTCTTCAGCATTATATCCATCTCCAATCAATTATCAGAAACCTACTTCAATCATTTCTCGCACTTGCTCTGGTTCTTCATTCTCCTTGGACTTGTCACTCTCCTGAGTGGCATTCAACTGCGCACCACCCATTGTAGCACTGACTGTGGTGCTATTTACCACCGTGATCTCCTGCTCGGGCATTTCCTCGGTTAGGTTCAAGCTGCGTCGCCTGCGCCCGAAGGAGGGCTCCTGACGACCCGCCGGGCCGGGACAGTAGGCGGGCTGACAGCCGTCGCGACAGGATCTAACTGTCGCCTCAAACACTAGGAAATTGGATTCGGGTATTTTGAAGGCATTGAAGCGTGCCTCCAGTGTGTCGCCATCGCGCAGTTTGTCCAGCTCGGGGAAGACATAAGGATCCACAGGGCAGCTGGACAAAAATACGAGTCAAGGGAAATTCCTATAAAGTTTCTATAAATATTTTACCCAAAGCGATCTATTAGCTGTATGCTGCGCCCAGAGTATGGATCCCTAGCCACCACATTTGTAGCAAATATGTCGGTAACATGATTGTAGCCATCCTGTGCCTCCAGTCGGAATGTGAGAGGATCACCCACAGCGATGGTTGTTGTGGGCCTGCCCTGATAGAGAATGCTCAGACGCACCTTCGAGCTCAGCGTGTTCTCGGCTGGCAAATATTCGATGGGTATGGGACTGCCCGAGCTGTGATGGCAAGACAGAGTTAAGTATTAATCATCAACAGAGATAATGATCATAATCATCATGGCTAATGTTTACCCGGCGCCGATATAGCCAGAGCTGACGACCGCTTCGCCGGGGCCTCGAAAGATGCAAGTGAGATTGTAGCGCTTATCGCGACTTGTTTGTACATTGTCCGAGAACTGCACGACTACAATATTAGTCAGCGTGTCGCCGTACTGCAAGATAAAATCAAGCGCGAGATCAACGAACGTGATTAATGCATAGAGTTGTAAATTTACTTACACGCTGTGTGCCACAGTCTGGGTAGCCCTGGGGTCCGCTAATCCGCAGTACATTGACGGTGCCGCCGTTGCCACGGAAGAAGCAGCGATCGTAAAATCCATATGTGTAAATTCTACCCAAAAACCCCTCAGGCGTGCGTATGGTGAACTCCATGCCCTCCTCGTTGCACGTCTGCGTAACTGCAATGGGCAATTAGTCTTAGTCAATTGAAGAAGCATAGATCTGCAGCATTGTTACCATCCATGCATTCGCCGTCGCTGCGTCCAATGCTGCGCTCGTAGAAATCATAGTTGGAGGCATCGAACGAACCCGGATCGTGTATATCCAGCTCACGTGAATCGCGATCGCTTAGTTCGCAGTTGGGCGACTCGCGATCACGTTCACGATCCCGATCATCATAGCTGGAGGCGGTGTCTCTGCAAATTGAATATGCGATTGCGATTGCGATTGCAGTTGTAGCTGCTTTTATCTGTGCCACATCTCTCTCTCTCTCTCTCTGTCTGTCTGTCTTCGCTGGCTTACCTGTAGTTGAAGCTGCGGCACACAAAGTCTCGACTCTCGATGCATTCCCGTTCGCACTGTATCAGACTCGGCACGATTAGAGCGCGTCGGACGAAATGACGCCGCATTTTGTGTCTGGCTGCGATCTGCTTGAAATTATCGCTCTCCTCGCAGCGCGTTATGGGCGGACGCGGTGGACCAGCGCCAACAGGTACGCCCACATGCGATCCCCCACCGTATGGTGTGGGCGGATGTGCGAGGCCCAGACCGAGACCGGGCACCGGTATGGGACGATCATCGAGGCCACCACCAATGCCGCCGCCACTACCACCTCCGTAGGGGCGATTAAAGGGCGTGTCATAGCGACCATAGGGACCACCCAAGGGCGGTCGACGTGCCGGTGGTCCATCATATTCGCGATCATAGGGTCCAGGTGCATACCGATCGCCATAGCGTTCCTCATAGTCGTAGTCATAGTAAGGCGGCGGACGATCTAAAGCTGAACAGAAATACATATACATAGCATTCAATATAAATAATTATTAATTAAAAATCCTAAAATTATTCTGCTGATCTCATTGCATTGCCAATTTAAGAACGAGTTACTAAAAGTATGCAATTTTATAGAGTGCGAAGCTCTCGATAATTAAATTATTATAGTCTAAAACAATTTCTAGTTGAGAGAGTATTAGTGTAGAACTTAGAGCTCAAATGTTGTAAAAGCTTTTATACACTGGAAACTCATTAATAGATCTACATAGAAATATTTCGGAAAATATAAAATATAGAGTTCATAAACTTTTCTTCAGTAGAAATTTCTTTATTAAGCAACAAAAAAACTATTAAAAAGTAAAATATTGCAGTAGCTCGCATCTGAAACTAACTAGAGATCAGTAGAATAAATTAGCAATCGATAATCCTGCTTTCATTATCTGTTCAGTAGATTTGTGGGTAGTCATATTAGACGGGGTAGTTGATTAGTGTCTTCTACTTACCGGGGCGTCTGCCTACGTCGCTGGGTCCCAAGCGATTGCCGTACTTATAGATGTCAATGGGATAGCGTTCGCTACCTACCGGAAAACGATTTGGGGTCGAGGCATACTTGCTGGCGCTGCCCGTGGGCGCTAGTGGAGCTGGCGGATACCTTTTAGCGGATTCGGGTTCTGGACGCCGAGCACTGTGCACTATATCATCATAGCGTCCGGGAGGCGCGCGCGAATCAGGCGCATAGGGATAGCGCGGTGGGGCCATAGATGAGGGGCGATAGCGTCTGTCTGGGAATATGCTATCGGGCGCATCACGACCCGTGTAGCCGCCTACTGGATCACGACTGGGTGGATAACGTGCCGGATAACGACTGTCATAGCGATGGTCTCCATATCGTCCCCCTCCGCCATAGCCATACGGCCTATAGGGCGCATCATCATCGGGGGGAAAAGGTCTCGTATGTGGCAGATCGCTGGGCAGTGTATTATCATTAATGGCCGGATAGGGCAGCGGGCGATAGGGCAGCAGGTCACGATCACGATCGCGATCCCGGTCCCTTTCCGGATAGCGTCTGTCTCCATAGCGATCGGGTGGATAACGTTCCGGATAGCGATCACGATCACGATCACGATCTCGGTCTTTTGAGTTAGTAAATTAGTTGTCAGTATAGATCAGTGGCAAAGCGAAGCGTGCTGTTATTCATAGTTCATAGAGTTATGTAAATACGTACCATAATCATCTGGATAACGATCGTAGGGACGACCCGGATAGCCCATGCCCATGCCGTCGATGCCCGGATAACGAGAGCCGCCATAACGATCGGGTGGATAACGATCGCGGTCACGATCACGATCGCCATAAGGATAACGATCTGTTAATATATTGAAAAGTATTATTGCCATCAATTGTGATGATATGCAAGTAATCTACCGTATTCATTGCCTGCATAATCGGGATAGCGATCGTATGGCCGACCATAATCAATGCCCTCCCCATGCGGCAGTCTATTGCCGCCCCCATGAGAACTGGGACCGCCCAGGCCAGCACCCGTTGACCCCGGTCCGTAGCGATCGTCATGCTTGTTAGGCTGTCTCCAATTGCTGCCAGAGTGATCACCGGGTCGCTTGCCATCGTTGCTGCCACCGTGACCAACGTCGCCGTCGGCGCCACCGTTGCCATTGCCGCTGCTGCCACTGCCTCCGCCCACAACGTTCACTAAGAAGACAAAGATTGGTGCAACCACTCCATTAGCACTAGTGGACACAGCTAGCTAGCTACAGCACTTACACATCAGATTCTCATAGTAATCATAATCAGCATCGTATATAATGCGCATGCCATCCTTTTGATTGTACCGACTGAGGCGACAAGTACGAAAACGATCGCTATAAACTGCCGACCTGCAATTTGTTAAAAAGAGTTTTCGTGTGGGTTGGCACATTGGAAGACAGCGAATGAGCAAACAGAAAAAAATAAAAAATACCAAATACCGAAGAAAACAAGAAATACAAGACAAAGAGAACGACAACCACAACGCACCTGCACTGGAAGCTTGTCTGGCGGAGGCATTCGTCCAGGCACTCGCTAAGCGAACGTCCCGTGATCTCAGAGTGAAACTCGCCGCCCAGTCGCGAGTTGCGGTAACGTTGGAATGCTGTATCTGGCCGACGGCCGCTCGAGAAGAGGTGCGAGGTGACTGAGTTATCTGGATAATCGGTGGCTCGTTCTGCAACGGGAATACAACAGCATACGGTATACAGTATACAGCTAGAGCAACCGCAATAGCTAGAGC